ATTGGATTGTTGTTGTTGTTAAGTGCTGTCGAGTCTGTTCTGACCCATAGCGACCCTGTATAGGGTTTCTCAGGAGTGACTGGTGAGTTTGAACTACCGACCTGGCGGTTCAAACCGACTTTGCAGTCCAGCACATTAACCCACAGTGCCTCACCAGGACTCCAACTGATTGGTTAAGACCATGCAAATAAGGTGTACAAGACTCTGGGGCTGGGTTTCGTTAGTTTTGCCATCCAGCTAGATTTAAAAGGAGCCATATCGGAATCTGGAAGGGACAGTTGCAGGACCACAAGAAAGAAGAGCATGAGCGTGAGCTCCATACCTTAAAAAGTGGCACTAGCAGAGGCAGTAGCAGAGGTGGTGGCACGGAGCAGACGTAGGCATCTAGACCTGTGGGCTGAGTAAAGCTGTGTGCCAACAGGCGGGAAGATTATTCACAGAATGTGCCCTTTGGACATTTGCAGAATGACTAAAGGAGCTTGGAGTTCTGGTGTGGCGCTGTGAGCTGATGCACTGGACTGCAAGGTTGGCAGTTCAAGTTCACCAGAACTTGAAACTGCTTCTCAGAAACCCTATAAAGGGTTGTTATGGGTAATAACTGACTAGACAGTGGTTAACAACAACAAAGGAGCTTGGTAACACTTGCCTGAGCAGGGCGGGAGTCCTGGGGTCACATGACTGAGAGGCTGAAGACAAGAGTGAGGCATGCCTTCAGTATGGCAAACAAGAGGCATTCCTGACTGCAGAACTGATGCATCCTGAGTGTTTCTGATTCTGAATTGTACCCTGTTTGCTTCCCTAATAGACCTCATAGTTGTGAGTATTGTTATGAGTTCTTTGTGGCCATTGCAATGGACTGTCAAACCCAGATGTGAATCAGAAATTTCTGTGGGAGGGATAGTTGGTGTCAGAATAGGGCAAGGAAGTTGTAGAGTGGAGTTGTATCTGACCTCTGTTTCATAGGAATTGCATTGGGCTGATTTTGAGTTTGATTCTCTTTCCACCTTGTGAAGCCAGAGGAAGTCCGATATGGCCCCCACATGGTTCATGCACGTTCAGACCACTAACCTTGTTAGCAATCCAATACTTATCCTACAGCACCATGCTAGGACTCCAAATTGTTACATGGTGTTGTTTATAAGTGCTATTGAGTTGGTTCCCACTCATAATGACCCTGTATAGGGTTTCCGAGGATGAGTGAGTTTGAACTACTGACATTGTGGTGGGTTTGAACTAGTGACATTGTGGTTCACAATCCAGTGCTGATCCTACAGCACCATACTAGGAATTATAGAAAAGAAAAATTACCAAAATAAGAAATTAGTTTAGGATCTTGAATTTTTGTGACCAGCTTTGGGAAAAGAAGGTAGCCTGGCAGAGCAGATTCACACTTGTGATGGAAAAGCTATGATTCTTTTTGCCCTGTACTCCCCTGGTGACCAGAGGTGTGATCAGCTCCCACCCTCATCCACCCCCAGCAAAGACCCTGCTCTATGGACGTTTGGAGCAATGTGGTTGTGAACCATGAGGCAGGAAATGAATGATCTACGTTGGTGTATGAGTTCAGATGGGCTGGCCTCCGGAACTACAGAACCCACAGAGCCACCAGACCAGCATTAATCTAGCAGTAAACCCTCACAACCAGCTTCCTCCGCCCCCAGCTGTCCCATGGTCCTAACAAACACTGAAACCATCAAGGGCCTCCACCAGCTATTTCCAGATTGAGTGCCCTGAACATAAATAACACCTACAGGTGCTGCATCTAGGGCTAGGAACGCTGCTGTTACAACCCTCCTGCACTCTTCTCCTGAGCTCCTTGGCTGCAAGGAGACCCCCAGAGGTTTCTCCTCTCCAGGTCCACCAGCTACACAGGTTTTTTGGGTTTTATCCTTTTGTTGTTTTTGTTTGTTTTTTCTTTCTTCTTCTCTTTTCATTCCTTTGAATTTTGTCCTTTCTGTCTCTGCTTTTGCTTTTGCTTTTTTTTTTTTTTTCCACTTTCTCATTTCTACTCTTCCTCCCCTTTGATCTTTCTTTACTACTATCTACTCTCTTTCTCTTTTCATCATCCTTCTCCCTGGTTTTTTTTTTTTTT